TTATCGATGAAATTTCAATCTAAAAGAGATACCTCTACAAAGATCCTTAAAAACCAAGTGTTGAGATTTCTGAAAACAGCTTTTGTCTGAAGAAACTCGAGTTTGCGTTTTCCTTGCATATCTGACTCTCGAACATTTAAAGTATAAACTTATATTTTGATTTCTCTCAAGTTTAATCGATCAGCTTACTTGCTCCCGTTCATCAAAATAAAATGCTTAGAAAAACATATGCTTTCCGAAGAATGTAGGTTAGTCAACGACAATATTGCTAAACACATAAGTGCAAATCAGTGGATATCAACAAAGTGGTATGAAGGCTTATCGTTCGTCGTCAGACTTGAAGACCTCAGACTTAAAACCTCATAGGGTCGTCGACGCACTGCTTCGTTTTCCCATGAATGTCTGTGCTTTATAATCACTTTAACGAAGGAATAAGGAGATTGTTGAGTTTCATCGAAATTATGGGCCTATCCGAGCTAAATGGCCTTTGAAAAACGGGAAACACTGAACGGTCGTCTCATCAATCTACACGACTACTAAACGTTGCGCGTCCATGACCCTGACTCCCACACAAGATCATAGGACCAGTGTGAGAGTTTGTAGTTACGTACTACGGAGCAGCCACATGCAAATTGTTCATTATGCAAATGCTCTCAGTTACGTTAGTCGATGGAACGCAACCTGTTTCAAAGGCTACAGAAGGAATTCACTCAATACTTGAAAGACTAGACAGGCATCAATTTGGACGTTAATCAGTAATCAATCAGTTTTAAATATCATAATTTCACAGATCATTCGCGATGTGAAAATATCAAGCTGAATGTTATTGAGAGCATCTGTATCCCCAAAGATTGTGAGTAGGCTTTCATGTCGAGTGCTGGCCAGTGTGAAACTTGCGTCAAGAAGGGTTTTCTATTTACTCAGTCCAACCAACTAACAACTCAACTACTTACACTAGTGGTCACATTGATAAGATTCAATGATCAATGAAGAATTAGATAACCATTACTTTTATCACTACTCAATCATTATTCACTAGCATAATTCTATTTCATAAAAAATAAATACTCTTCCACAGAAAGACCAATCAAATTAAACATGGACTTGTGTTGGTTATTTACAGAATTCATCTGATCATTTTGCATGGTATTATTCATTAAGTCTACTTTATCATTACATAGTTTGTATAAAGATTGTTCAATTTCGAAAAGTCTGTTAGTTACTTATTCATAAGTCATCAATCCTGACAACAAAACTCTGTGTAACTTTATTTCTTCAAAGTGGTCTTACTTCCGTTTATAATTCTGTTTTTCTTATTTATAAAACAGTTCGCTACAGATTTACATACTCTTCATTGCATGATTTGATTATCATGTGTCTCGCTTACTACGCAGAGGTTTTCGTAATGCAGTCAACGTCTGACAACTCTGAGCAGGAATGTCAGCTGCCCTCCCTCCATCTTTTAGTGTAGTCCGTCGTATGAATTCCAGCGACCGACTTCACAGTTTCAAAGACGTTTCCGTAAGGATTTCCTATCCACACTGTAAAACACATTCTAATAGTCAAGGAACTTGACGAATAGTGACGTTTTCCACTCAGTTGATGGTACAACGATGTTCCGTAGCGCCGCGATTCGGTCAGTGCATGATAGATCCCTACAGAATCCATTCTTCAATTATTCTCTGTCTATTAGTCACTGCCTCCCACATTCACAGCTACATTTGGCCAAATTTTGTACAAATGTTATTTTTATTTCATGATACGTTGTGGTCTGTTTGATTGGTATATAAACTCAGTATGACTGAAATAAAATGATTCTTATCGCAGAGGCTCAGATTAATGTTTTGAACTTAACTGGCTAGGCTAGATGGAAAGCCGGACCAATCAGGACTCTATGCTGCTCGCACGTGTTTACGCATCTTTGGTCTGATCGATAATTCGCTGCTTTCTAATCGGCGGTCACAAGTTCTAACCATTGGCGAAGGGGTAAAAAAACAAGATCCAAAGCCAGTCTGTAATCAGACGGAATTAAGTCTAATTATTTAGAGCAATCATCATCCATATTTGTCGTCAGTGTCCTCGAACGACAATGGTCAATAATAATACAGTAATTTTCATTGCTAGTGCTGATTCAGATAATGACTCTTCCTTCCGATCGATTAAAGTTGCTATTTGAGTGGCAGTTGGAGTTCTTAGTCAATTTACGCATACAGCTGCGGAGTCACTAATGCTTTAAAGATGCGACGGAAGTGGATAGATTAAATTCTCAATTGCGCACTGGGCTGAAAAATGATTGCAGCCTCCATGAATCCTCAACAAACTATATTTCAAACGATACAACAGTCACTCAAGATCCGCTCAGAGGTCCAGTACTCTCTATTTCGGAAACATGCCCGGTAATGGATTCAAACTCTATTATCCCCGAAACAGCATGTGCAGACAGTGACTTATCCAGCTCACAAACAGACGCCCTGTTACATGTCCATGAAATTACCGCAGTAACCGCCAATGAAACAGAAAAAAAATCGAGCAGTACAATGAATGCAGCTGCTCCAAACAAATCTCATCATTCTGCGATAGAAGTTTCTGAAGAATCTAATTATCGAGATTCTCTTTTAACAGAAAATATGTCGGATGCATCAAGTGATGAACAGAAACCTAATACAATTTTTACAGATGCTGATTATCTTAATGATCTATTATCTACAAATGAGGCTCCGGATAAAATTGATAATAATATTTCAGAAGATTCGAACTCTGATAACCTCTAGTTAAATGACGTTCATTCTCACTATCTGATCAATTTTACTGGATTCTCTGTTCAATATGTTTTAAATACAATCAAATTATTTGTAACTTGAACATATGAGGACCCAACATTATTTCGCGAGGAAGGATGGACTTGGAAAATTTAAAATCCAGATATCAACTCCGGATCTTCAAAAAAAAGGAGGTGTGTTATTTCACGACAAGAATAATGAATGGTAATTTTGGGACCCATTTGTGGACCAGTGCTATATGTATATTCTTGCTTTCCCAAGCCGCAATATGCACTTCCCCGCAGAATAAAGGCGAACTGGTAACAGCGGCACGTACAGGCAATAAAAAAAGGAAAATATGCATAAATGCATAAGATAAAACAGGTTTCAGCACCAGATAAAGCTTGTCGATAATTTTTCTCAAATCCGAAAACATTCTGTTATGCAAACTCTGTTCGGCAAGATAAAACTGGAGTTTCCCAACTTCTAGGTTCGAATGGCCTGACTAATAACGACGGTGACGCAGCTAATCTTTTGGATATTTCAACCAACCGACACTAGCTATATTGATGAAAGCTTCATCTGCAACTCCACAAGACTTTCAAAAGTGAATCTGACCGCTGATTTTGTGTACCGGAAAATGAAACACCTAGAAGAGACACTTCCTCTGGCGTGGATATGGTTCATTCTGCTATGCTGAAGGAAGCAGCTTCAATCTGGGCATTACCGGCTAGCGTGATGTTCCCAAACTCGTCAAGCTGGGGCACATTGCCGGAAATTCGGAAGCTCGCCCACATCACTCCAATTTTCAAATGATGTCGACTCAGAAAACCTTCAAGCTATCAACCAGTGGCTCTTATCTTTATACCTTCAAACATTATGGAGTCCTTGATATGCGACGATATACACAACTATTTATTATCCTGAAACTTCTTTTCATCTCGACTGCACAGTTTCAAGAAGGATTATTCTTGCATATCCAACCTGCTGAGTGCAGTGGACAGATGGACAACCATCCTTAAGGTTGACATCATTTACCTTGACTTCTCATAAGCTTTTGATAGTGTCAACTATGTATGTCTTATCGGTAAGCTCAAACGGTTAGGTAGAAAATCACCTTTAATTGATTTGTTCAGTTCATGTCTAAAAAATCGAGATTTTGAGGTTAAATCCTTTTCTCAGGCTATGGAATGTCCTAGTGTGGACCTCCAGGGTTCACCACTAGGACCTCTTCTCGGTTTATGTAAACAATATTCCACAACATATATCGCCAGACTTATTACTTTTTTATGATGATGTGAAACTTTAGAAGGAGAGAGAAAGGCAACCAAGAGGATATACTGGGATTTCAGGAGGGTCTGATTAAACTTCAAAATTGGCTAGATGACAATAGACTTATCTTCAGCACTTGAAAGTGTAAGGTAGTCCATCTGCGACATATTATAGACTACAGCTGCAGCTTAGGCGATTTCCCTCTAGAATTAAACCAGGTTAAAATATTAAGGAATGCTGGTAAACTACTATTTAAAGTCTTACGCTAACTGCGTCAAAAGTACCTTCCGGGTAGACCTTGCACTGATAACTATGAAGCGCATTTTTGGCCATTTTGACGGTAGAACTTTCCACATATTCTTTACAGATTTATTCGTTACCATTTAGTGTGCGGAAACACAGTATATCCTCACTCATTTTAAAAAGTTAAGGACACTCTGGATCGTATCCAACGGCGAGTCACGAAATCAGTTCGGGGACTCAAATTCAAGCCCTATGAAGAGCGTTTCCAATCACTAAACCATTACCCATTAGAGTACAGGCGTCTAAGAGGTGACATTTGAATGTCTTGCAGCATTCTTAACACTTCTGGCCATCTCCTTAAACACCTATTTAAATTTAGCTCTAACACAAACCTAAGGGGTAATTTCCAAAAACTGTAGATACAACTCAGCAGAACAGACTATAGACACAACTTCTACTCCTTATGAGTAATCGAATGCAGGAATTTGCTGCCGTCCGGCATTGTCCAAGTGACTTCCTCGGAGCCCCATAAGAGAAAATTTGACAAATACTTAAAAGCTAGGGACAATGACCTACCAACTGCTCTTTCCTCTTTTAACAATATTATAGCCAGAATCCTTGCTACAGGTCATAGTGATCCACTGCTACTAGATACCTTAATCTGTTAAGCTGAAGATTTTTATATCCCTTTCAAAACCTTTTGAACCTATTTGTGATTTGTCCTTCAAATATTTCACCGCCTGCTTTAAACATTTTCTCGTCATAAAAGGTCACTTTTGGTTTCTGTCAATAAACATTCTTGTCACTACATCAGCATTTTTGCCTATCTCGACTCATAATCCCAAGAAAACATCGTTTATGGAACTTTTTCATTAAAATGTTGTAAGATGACACATTCATGAAATTCAAACAAACCAGAAAGAGGTCATAAAAACGAACACGGGAAAATGGACATTCCCTAAGATAATATGAAAAAATTAAAAGGAAATGACCCGAACATTTGCGTTTTTCACTTGCTGTGGAAAAGTAGGGCGGCATTTGCCCATCTAGTCTCCTTGGGTTTGAAATATCATTGATTTTCCGCCAAATTGTTTAATTTTCACGAGAATTTGCGCAGAATTATTCGCTTATAGGTTGTGTGGTGATTTAAATCATAATGTCACAAAGCTCTTCTATCACAACATAGTTCGCTTAAGCGAATAAAAAAAGGGAAATTAGAACGTTGAGGTACTCCCATAAGTAAGTCGGTGTAATAATGGACGACAGTTCTCTAAGTTTAAGTTGTTTTCTCAGTCTTGGGTGTGTTAAAATTTCCTCCTAAGTCTCCCCATTAAGACTGAGTGTGCCGTATCTTTCACTTTTACTTTGTCCAAATTGCCTACTTTATCGCATAACGAACTCAGAATTGTCTACTGTTTCCCAATATTCAGACATAAATTAATCAGCATTTTGCAAAAGCAGGCAATTGTCTGTTATTACTTCCTCATTACTTTTCCCCTTATTTATTTTTCTGACTGCCTGAGAAATGTCCTTAATTTATATTTTATATTTCTGCAAGGTAATGTGTTGAATTTAAATTCCTTTTCTCGTTGGCCAGAATAGAAAAAATGTGTTTCTTTTTTGTAAATATTTTTAAATAGCTGATAGGAAATTCCGTACTGGAGTACTGTCTCCTTCCATTGTTTACCTCATACGTTTGTGTTGTTCTGATTTACTCCTTTTTCTCTGCGATATCCCTCTGTGAAAACGTTTCTTTTTTATGTAACTTTAGAATTTTACGAAGTGTTTTCAAATAACATATACTATAGTTTTCAGAGAATTTACATTGCATAGTAGTTCCATAACAAGTATTACTAAACACCGGTTCGCCTGACTTAATGATTTTTTTTCACAGCAAGGCTCCTGTAAACACCTCGATAAGGGAAATTTTGTGATTTTCCATAAGTTCAAGAACTTTGTAGATTTCTCAATGAAGTTGATTACATTTCCACAAAACTTCTATGAAAACAATGGCAGTCTCGAAATTCCCCGCACGTTTTGATGATTACTCCGAAGCATCAGCTTATTTTCTGAAAAACCTCTAGGTCAGTAGAAATTTCAAGGTTCTGAGTTCAATTTTCTCCAGAGTTCCTTAAAACTTTTTGATGGGATTTTCCCCAAATTAACGAAATTATAACCAAGGTCGGGAGCTTGAGAGCCACTAAAGCCTGAACACTGAGCTGTCGAGTATCTATCTACTCATGTGATAACCATTATTGTATTATCGAATCATAGTCAGGTTTGCAGTTTCATCCACTTATAAAGGCCACCTCCGCATGTCCAAAATACTTTTCATAATTTATAGTTATCCGGTCCTTATTACCTAAGCGTTGAAACGTTACTTTATTCAAATACATGGCCATTTAGTGATATGAAGTGATAGTGTTAGGGACTTGAGCTTGTGTAGTTTAATTTCCCGAGTTTGTCGTATACATTGTTTCTGGGGTTCTCGTAATTAGCTTCATTGTTCTTGCGTTAATATTCACCTCAGCAGTTATAATTTCCCTTATCTCCCATATTTACTTGCTCTTGTTACCCCTTACGGATGAGCTTAGGCCGCCCACCGGTATTCTCAATCTAACTCTGTCTTGGGCAATTATTTCTAGTTGTTTCCATTTGCTGTTCATTCTTTTGATGTCTGCTTCCAATTCTCGGCGGTGTGTTCTTTGGCCTTGAAACTTATCATCTCCCATATGGTTTAGCTATTTCCTAATCTAATTTTCTGTCTTCTGTTCTCTTAATAAACTATGATTGGACACTAACAATAGGTTTTGGTTTATACTTTCAGACTATTGATGATAACTTTTTCACGCACTTGTCAACATACATTATTCGTTATTTGCATTTCTTGCTTTGTATTTTAACCAAATTTCCCATATTTTATCAACTAAATGCGTACTTGTAAAGTATTTCATCATTACCACTTCACTACCCTTTTTCCCTCAACCATTTGTCTTATTTTTTTCTCTACATTTTTTAACTACATTTTATGTATAAAAGTGTTTTGTATCCTCAGCAGACCAATAAAGAGCAAAATCGAAGTGTCTCTACGAAATGGTATTCCGTAGAAATCACAATGCGTGTATTTGCAGTGATTAATGATTGCTGGTTAAATTATTGAAAACTTATAGAGTTAACGTTGTTCGCGAAACTTATTTCATACATGTCTTCACACACACTTCACTAATACCAGGAAATGTATTAAATTCGGTTTCGTAAGCAGGCCAGTTGTGAAATTGGCATTTCTCTCATTGCTCTAGACTGTACACATTGGCAGTGAGAGGCTTTGTTTTGATGTATGCTATAAATGGTTACGTCAGGTTCTCTACTAATGGACATTGTCGAAAAAATGGGTAGTAACTTTAGAAAGTACCAACAGATAAAAATTCACAACTAATGCATTGAATTTCAAAGCTTTAGTTTTATATCACACTTCTTGTTCAGGTATTACATGCTTTATTCCCAGTTTTTAGTTTCCACTACAATCGATCTTATTACTTCACTCCACTTGATTTAATCCTGCTAATTTCTTTTCATTATAGTTATATGAAGTATGAATACCTAGGTCGATGCATATTTTGTCCAGGTCTTAGGTTTTTGATGGATGAATGGTGCTGAACAGAGTTTTACCGGCAGTGGTTACAAAAATCAATACATTTTTCTCGGAATTTCTAGTTTAACAACAAACTCACTCATACTATAGTCTGTTCAAATCTTCTTTGGTTATATAAACACATTTGTCTCCTGCTTGAGCACAGATTTATTCTGAAATTTAACATTACCTTAAATTGTCTTATGGTGCCATTCATAAATATCATATTTTAATTGGATGCAGTTATTAACTTCATTAAATGAAGTTCTCTGTTTTAGGAGGCTTGTGTTTGTGAGATTTCTCATCGCAATTGAAGTTAAACGCTTCTAAACCGTTTTAAAAATGAATAATCAATATAATTATCAAGCTGATGATCGGATTCGTCAGCAACAGGCTAAAGTTCAGGAGGTAAAATTTCTTTATATTTGTTTGTAACTTACTTTATTTCAGGTTGTTGGTATAATGAAAGACAATGTGAATCTCGTATTAGAAAGAGAAACTCGTTTAGCAGAAATTGATACTCGGGCTGGTACGGTAATCTATCCATTTTATATGTCTTTTGTGTATCTAACCTCTTACCGTATAGTTAGCCCGTTTTCATGAAAGGCTTTCAGATTCGTAAATTGTACTTTCGAATATACCTCATTTATTAAATCTCCTATTTAGGAAATTAAAATAGGTTAATATTTATATTAAAAGACTAATATTTGGATGAAGAATACTTGTTTTGGTAAATTCTATTCAGGTTCTACAATTATATATCCAAATTGATAATCCGAAAAATGGCCAGGTCAAGTGCAAAGTACATTGTTTAAAGCATATGAATTTAGGATTGTCAAACAAAATAGAATAAAATTGTTAGTGTTGATATGACTCACATAGAATATTAACTTGAATCTGCATATATGTTTAGTGAAAATTTAAGATCCATGATCAGAATGAATATGGGTCAGATAGGGTAAGAGAAATAATAATGCAATTACAATTCGGTCAAGTATCTGAATAAAGATAACAGAGACAATTACAGTTGACTACGAAAGGTCGTAAGTACAATATTCATATGATCATAAATTGACATCAATTTTCATACAGAAGTTATTTATTGTCATCAATGTCAAACTACATAAATGTCAAAATAAGCTTCAAATATGTAATGTCTTTACTTTACATTTGAAAACTAGTTAAATATGTGTACAGTGATGTTCTAATTAAATGTAATTTAAACTGATGAGAATTCCTGTTATTGATTTCTTTGATCTGGATATTTCAATATTGGAGCTTCATGTATCTTTTTAGCCAGCCAGTCCGTGATAATCAAGATAAACCCTGAAATCACCCACAAAATTTCTTGAAGAATCTGGTTGAATATCATCTTGGAACAAATTTCATCAGTAGCAAAAGGAGCACATCAGACAAAATAAATACCTTCATTCACCCGGACACTGAAAAGGCATCAAAGATTACGAAATATTTTAGCTTAAGTTAGTGGTTATGGATAACTTTGGATACAAATTTTACTAAAAGGACTTTTATTCGTTACATAAAGCAAGTAAAGAAGGCCAGACGATTTTTAAAATTTCGAAAATCAGGGAATTAGTAACCAACTGATGTATTGACATATACTCATTCCTTCCACCAGTGTTAAGATGATAATCAACTAGCGTTTGAAGAACAACTAAAATAAGTCTTCAGACGGGGGTAACGCAATTAATGATAACGACCAATCATATCCCATTTTTGCAGAATGATTTGTTAATCATCTATAATTAAACTCTCGTGTCTCACTTTTTAAAGTTTTTTATGACAATTTCGTTTAGAGGGATAATGCAGGATAAAATCAACAACCCAAATTCCAGCATCATTGAAACAAACGAAAATAATTGACACATGAATATGCGTTTTTATAGGTTCACGTAAGTGAAAAGCAAGGCAGTAATTCAGCGATAATACTAAAAGATTATCGTTGTATGTTAAAAACAGTTAGATTTGGCTCATAATGGTATGTTCGCCGCGAAACCTAAGTTTATCGTGTGAGTTTATCCATAGATAAAGTTGAGGGATCTGAATGAGATAGATATTTGATACTTCCTTAAATGATGTTAGTCAGCTATGAAAGTCTCTCCCTAACTATACTAAATTATTGTGAATCTACCTCATTTATTTATTACCAATATTTCCGTTAATCTAATAAAAGATAGTCCGATAGGTTTTAGAGTTAATGCTACCAGTTGTCTAAACATGCTACTTCTTATCTTTTTCGTAAACCATAGTCATGTACGTAGTTAACTCTTCGTATATTTGTTGTTTTTCACGTTTTACTGAATTTGGGATTAGAAAAAACTGGTTAACATGAATATAACTTCATGCAATTGTATGTAAACTTTTAATTGAAGTCAGTTTTGATTACTGATATATGTCGTCACAATTTTATGTTGTAAAGATTGTCCTGTTGCTCGTTTACTTATTTTATTATATGTCACGTTTTGGAACTATTAACGACACCTAACTATAGTTGTATTACATCATCTCAAAGCTACACCAGTTCGTCAGTCGCGAGGTTTTGTTAACTTTTGTCAATGAAAAGTGTGCGAATGAAGTGCATGAAACTTGTTAAGACTCTTTGCTTGAACACTATTGATGAAGTTAGTTATGTATCACGTCATACATACCTTTTCAGACTATATTCTTAGTATTTAATCCTAATTGGGATCAATAATATTATTTCCACTCATTTACTATTCATCGTGTCAATTTAATTCCGTCGCATTGATATGATATGGCAGATTAGACTGATCCACTTTTGAGCGCAATTGTATGTCGAAAATAACTGACCTATTTATATGTCCGTTCAATATGAAATTTTCAGTTGTATTACCTTTATGATTTATCCTTCTGTATATTTTCACTCTTCAACTAATCAGCTCAACATCTAGATCGCTACTCTCTGCAATATTATGGAATATTACAACATCTCACACAGACATAAACTAAATAAATAAACTTTTTCAATGTGGAAATCTGACTTTAGGTTCAATACTTAAAACGAGAAATCTATGATACTCCTTACTATATAAAGTGAGTAGTCGGTATGTTCAACTAACTATGACATTTATCATTTAATGGTAAGACTCGGGATTCTTCACAGGAATTTGCTCTTTTGATTACAGTCTTTCCTGGTTATTATTACCCATAGTCGTCATTTATATAATAAGATCAAATGTGGTACGTATCACCAGGAATTTATAGAGATACTGCGTATGGTAGTCCATTTCTCTAATTGTAGTAAGATTACACACTACTTATAGTCTGTAGTTCTTCACACCCCATCGTTTATTTTCTATCGTTGTATGTAGGTGAGTGAAATAAATTAAATTCAGAGATAAATTGCGAATATGAGTGATATATCATTGTTCCCTGTAATTGTTATCCACTCAGATCACGAAAAACATTGTACGACTAGGTATCAATACCAAGGTGCGGCCTGATGATTTCAAATAAGTAGAAAGTTAATAATAAAATAATGATGTATTTGTCGTATCTCGATGTGTAGAAATTTGGATTTCTGATATTTCATGACTTAGTTTAAGCCAGCCGGAATAAATTGACCCAAGTTTAAATAATATAGAAGAACTAGGCAGAATATTTAGTCAAGTCAAAATAAGTCATTGAGGTGTAAAACATAATGGCTTGAGACGTTATCAGACATGGCCCGCAATAGAAACCAGTGGCGATCCTGTTGTAACTATACTTTTTATATGGTTGATAGGGACTTCGTTATAACAATCCTTTTCGGGGTTTTTTTCTTAGCTGGACTGTTTCTCTCGACGTTATCATTATTCTCACCTTCATACACTAAATTATATCCACTTCAGTTTTTATACTCGCCTTCCTTCCTCTATCGCTTCACAACTTCGTTTTTATTGTGCGGCGCATTTATTTATTTGAACACATAAATATTGGTACCATATACATACGCGCCACACAAGTCACTTGATTTGTGCGTGAGTTATGATACTGCCTGGGTGCCCAAACCGAAGCAGGTGGTTTTCTTAGTGGACCACAGCCAGAGCCTTCGACCTAAAAGTTTGATCCACAAGGAAGTGGAACAACGTCGGGAAACGCAGTTCCAATAATTGGTTCATACACCATTTGTTTCCTTAGGATTATGTGTTAGTGATTATAGTTATTAGCCGAATAAGCGTTTACGATGCGTCATTACCACCCGCCAAGCCAGTACTACGATGTTGTTGAAACAGTGATAAATCCCATAAATGTGATCTTCGGTAGTTCATATTTATGTTTAATAATTTTTGGAATAACATAAAATAGCCTACAAGATAATCATTTGTAAAGTTTAAGAGATGTCTTTCGTGATATCATTCAATCTAAACCATATATATATATATATATATATATATATATATATATATATATATATATATATATATATATATATATATATATATATATATATATATATATATATATATATTGTTTCTAATAAAAAAACACTTGTTTTATCACTTTCGGTTTATTGTGTCATTAATCACTCCGTAGTATATAAGTTTTTGTGCTTCAACTTTTTAGTTTCTGCAAACTGAATTATTATTTATTCACTTTAATTCCTGAAGGTATAATGCCTAATTTTTCGTAGTCACACTTTATATTTTCCAGGTATTATTCAATCTACATCTTAGTATAAGCGGTTTTTGGGGATTGTGGAATTTTTACAGTTTAAATCACGAACTGATCTTGGCTAGGCTACCATGAAAAATCTGGAATCTTTGTCGTGTGTAAGATCCACTCCATGCAATAGATCAGGATTGTACATTATCACGATTTGATTGAAGTTCGAAATTAATGCTACTGGATGCCAGCTCAGTTATCTAGTGGTTTAGCGCTCGCGGGTGAGGTCGTAGGTTCTGGGTTCACTTTCTGGATACGAGGTCGTAAATCCGCACTGCAAAGGAGTCTCATACTAGGACAAATCGTCCGTTCAGTGATTACAAGCCTCCAATGGTGACCTAGCTAAGATCAGTCCGTGATCTAAATTGCGAGAATAATCGAGATTTGTTATTGTCACTGCTAGTCACGTAACTGCAAGTTAAATGTACTATGTCTTTTATCAATTTATGTACATTATCATACATTAATGACTTACATTGTATTGAAAGTGATATATCCCTCATACTTTCCTTCTATGATTTGGAGAACTAAAGTGATCCTAAATAGAACAAAATGATATTTGTTCACTTTAGTGTGAGAATGAATGAATATTGCTAGTTCAACTTGCCTTATAACACGAATGAAATTGGTGAGATATCGTTTGTTATTGTATGTAAACTGTGTTGTGTCTTACCGAAGATTGTATTCTGGTCACTTTTTACACAGTAATTTAATGTCGTATATTTTTTCTTCGAAACACCTCACTCCTACATTGTTTCTTTAACTGAACTCAGATACATATTCACTTAGTTTTTTTCATGGTTCTTTTTAGTTGGACATCTAGTGTAGTTTTGTCTCTTGATTATACTGTATGCTTAATTAGGATTCTTTTTCTGTTTTTAATACAAACTAATTTCCATATACTTCAAGTGATTAGTTTTAATTATACTCTTAACAATCGGTTGTTGATGCTCTTCCCATATATTGTATTGTTAATTATTTATTTACATAGTTGATTGACGTAGATTAACTGGAAAAGTTTGTAAATGTGTTAAGTAGTGAAGTTTAACCGTGTGCAAGATAGAAACAAAAATAATAGTTGCACCCTATTCGTAACATTATCATTCTACACATAACCCCCATTTTTTCTACTTTATATGCAATCACTTAGCGGCGGGAATGTTCACCTATTTGTCTCCTCAATACAAGTTGTGGTTGATTTCAAAACTTTGAATATGTATGCATCTTTAACAGTATACTATTATCTAACCTTTTACTCATATTGCCTAAAATGAAAAACTAGAACTATGAGTGTGGACAAGTTATACAAAATCGAATTAAATTGTACTTGTGAATATATTTGTAGAGTAATTATTTATTGATGTAGCCTATGAATTTTGACCTGTGATCATATAATGAATATATTTTATACTCGAAAAATTTATTTAGTACTCATTAAATACCTACTACTTTATGAGAATCAGGAGTAGTCTCTTGTTTCACTGAAGATCCGTTGCCTATGACACTTCTACTCTTGACGGTAAATTACTCCTAAATGTAACCTATTTCTTCAAATAATTTGACAAATGCTATAAATTAAGAAAGGAATACACTTTGGACCTACTTTTGGCTACTTGATAAGTAGTTTATGGAATCTTTCTAATAGTTTCTAAGTATTTTATGCAACTGGAAGTTGTTCAAATTTAAATTTCTTATTTTCTGAATCAATAGAATATATGATTCTTCAAAGTTTCTGCACTCTCTGCCAGTTGATAATAACGTTCATCGCTGAAGTTCAACTTTTGTGTTCTTTTTTTAAAAAATTACTTATACAATTTGACGAACGATCTTAAAAGTGTCTAAAGAAATAAAATGACAATTTGAAAATCATGAGGTAGTGCAGTAGCATAAAATCCTTCCTCATATTTCTGTTCAATCTCAACGGATAACCCCCATATACGTAATTCATAAATGAAATTAGCTGTGGACTAGTATCAACTCCTATGCTTATGTCATAACTGACTTTCGAAGTATATTAATCACTATTTCCTGTAAGGTCATTAAACTAAACGCTCAATTTTAGTGAAGGTTAATTGTAATATCCTTAAATATCTTCACTCATAGAAGTTCCTCAGAGTTTTCAGCGTTCATTTTGTAGGGAAAGTCAACAAGGATGACACAAAATTAAAGTTTGTGATTTACAACCGACTGGCTTTGAACGTTTTGTACCAGAAAGAAATTTACAGTGTAACGTCACTCTATTTGGTCGCTTCAATGTATTTCACGACTGGTAAACTAAACTTTAATCAGTACTTGGGAAAGTTTTGGCTAGTATCGAGAAGTTACTTCGTGTCTCAACTGCGTCAAATTCCATGAACGCTGTCATTTTTATTTGGTAACGGTACGGTTAAGTAGCCTGTTCGATAATAAACGCTTTATTGTACGTACGTACAATCGGAATCACTAACATTTACTCAACAGTCATAACATGACAACAAAATTCTAATATCCCATGACACTTAAATGACAACCTAATCTATTTATCAAACCATTCACAGGATAACGTATTGATCAGCATTACTTATCTCATACACGAAATAGCCTAAAGCGTTCACTCAATATACAGAACTCTCATTTTCAAAATATTCTTAGTCATTTGTGATATCCAGACTCATTTATTCGTCAGTATGAGTTATCGAAATTGCCAAATTTCATTAGAATCATGAGCGGAGCAATGTTAGGCCCTGAGCTCGGGTCCCGTATGCGGTATTGTAAATACGCAATACTGATAAGTCCCATAATAAGACGAAACAGCCATCCAGTGCTTATAAGTTTTCAATGGTGGTCTCACGTTGATCGGTTCATGATTTTATTCATTTATATTTTGTAAGTTGTGTTTTTAGCGTCACCGAACACTTACTGAAAATCAAAGAGCCCTCTGTGTAGTGTCTCACTTCAGTGACTGATGATTTAGTGGGCTAGTTAAACATCAACCGGATTATAAGCAAACGCTATTGACCAAGTTTAGACTCCCTTTTCTAAGGAGCGAAACACTGCTAGTTGAAAATGTGACCTCTTTTATGAAGGGAAACATGTTTGTTTATGAATAGTTGTACATATATTCTCCACTCGGTTTAACCAATAAATTGTTCTTCTAACTGGCTCTTTTCTCACCCAACTAACCTGTTGGGGTTGCGTGTACGAAGTTTATGTATCAGCGTCATAATCGGATACTTCGTAACACAATACTGACTTTCTCCAGGCTTAGGGTCTTATTATTAATGCATCTTACTGTCAGACTAATGAATTTTGATTTCATGCTTTTTGTTTATCTACCTCAAGTTGTTTGTAACCCTTTGACAAATCGGACTAAAAACTTAAACAGGTGAATACCGATAAGTTTCTTAAATTTAAAAAACATAAACTTCTAGATCGTAACATAGTCAAATAACAATTTTAAAAAATGAATATCTCAGTGTAGATGACAAAAATAGTAATGCATTCAAAGTTATAATTAAGAATAAAATAACTGTTTCTGTGTCATGTATTTTTTTTACTAGAAAACTTTATTCGTTATTTGGCTATACTAAATAAATTGCGTCGACCAACCACTCTACCTGATAACTTGTTTGTAAATTTGTTACTAAAAATGATGTATCCTATTATAATATTGTTGTTTGTAAAATATGCCAATTTCTAGGTAGAATAATTATTATTTTGATTTGACCTTTGACCATTCTTTCAGATGAATTACAAGTTCAATCCAAACAGTTTCAGGCAGTTGCTGGTCGTGTACGAAGAAAATACTTTTGGCAAAATATGAAGGTAAATTGATAAGAAAAAATTTTTTACGTTGACGATAAGTTAATGGTTTGTTGAAGCTTTTAATTTTATGCCATTTTTGTAGGATTTTCCATACCTAAATGTGTTATTGGATGATAAACATTTTCTATTTGTCTCGAAAAAAAGTAATAAATATTTAGTTATGTACTGTCTAACAAAGGTGTTCTAGGCCACTGTACTACTGTTGCCAGAAAAACAAAAATATAAAAGTAGATATGATGGATTGACTGGGTAAATGGACACAAAAAATTTGACTGGTAAGGTTAGTAAACTCTATTCCAAACAAGTCGCATATTCGTCTTAATGTTCATAACAAACTATTAATGTAAAAACGTTTTATGTTCTCTGGTTATCACAGAACCAATTTTTCTAACGGTACGTCTTTGCCTTATGCACAGGTGGTTTCATTAAAGGTTTGTAAAGGCGATCACTTTTCGGAAAGTAACCAATTCAGTTTTAACACCTCGATATTATCTTAACCTTCACTTCATGTATAACATTTGAAAATAAGATATTTAAATGATTCGCCTTTCAAATATATCCTTAGGTACTTCAATAATTTTATTTTAAACTCGATTTCTGTTATCATCTTATATATTTGCGCAATTCTATATGCACTTCCTTTATGCTCCTTCTCATCTTAATTTCAGTCTTTACCTCTGTAGCTTGTATCTGTTGAATCTCTGATTCATCTAAGAAGTTTACAAATAGTTCCTTCTTGAATGTAGTGTTTTAGTCGTTTAATCGACGTCGTTATTCTATAATCACATGTTTCGTCGAAACTTTTCACTGATTCTGAAAACACTTAGGAGATTTATTGATATTATGAAACCTCCATAAAAAACGAAATCAGGTAAACTGATCACACACAATCACTTCACCTACATTATTTCAAATCATGAGTCAATTTCTGTAGGGCTATTTACTCTGACCATCCCTCCTCAACTTTTCATCGATAGTATTGTGGAAACAGCTCATAATAAAGTATGTAGTAATGGTTTAGTTTTGTTAACAAAGTATGTAGATGACAACTTCTTTCTGTACAATGTTGTGTAGCCCATATGAATCTCATTTTATTAGCTGGCAATAATCGTCTCTGAGTATGAATTATACTCTATTATATCAAAATGCTTGTAAGTAGAAGGGACGAACTGTGTCTGTTCTTATACTCAAGAGTAAACTGTGATAAATATTTGAACTGTTTGTGCATTTGAGTAGTTGTACGGACAGGTGGTGTAGCAGAAGTTATTGGTCTACGTTTATCGAAAAAATGAGTAACTCATATCAGTTTGAATCTTCTTTGATGTTGTTCCGAAGTTAGTTTGATCATGAATCATTGGGTGCATAACACTGCGTTACAAGTAGTTTCGCCCTGTGTCTATGAAGCCTATTCTCTCTGGACTGAGAATGTTCAAAAAAATGTTTCCAATTATCAGTTTTTTAAGTAATAATCTTAATCAGCGACAAAACGTTTAGCAATACTAAAGTTAGCCAGCGAGTTTTCGTCGAAAAATAATTATCACTATTCTGTCGGAGATATCATCATGAATTCATTTGATTCATGACGTTTCATTGGCTTAAATATCAAACACATACCCTGGTACGACCGAAGGTGGGGAGAATCCGCTCTCCCCCTCGAAATGCTCTCACATGGCCACGCGCATAAAAGCACTGCCAGAATAGTCCTACTCACTTCCTTCTCATGGCGGGTGTGTTGTTTACGCAATTGAGAGAACGGAAAGTGAATGTCCGGCGCTTTAATTGGATTCGTGGATACAAAGGATCAAACTAGAGAAGTTATAAAACTCTGATTCCAAACCAGTTATGTACATGGGCTCCAGGATCCTAAGGGGACAAATGGCGTATGAACCAATCGTTGGCCATCGGTAACCATGGGACTACATCTCCCGACGTTGCTCCACTGCCTTGTCGATCAGACCCATAGATCGAAGGCTCGGGGTGTGGGGCCCCCTAAGAAAACCTCGTGCTTCGTTTTAGGCACCCTGGCAGTATCATAGCCTAAATACAAGTCAAGTGACTTGTGTGGCGCATATGTCTTCTGTTCCCCTTTGTACCAATATTTATTTGTTCGAATAAATAAATTAGTCTGGTGATTCTGGGAATGGAGTGAAGGCACAAGTATATAGCGAGTCTTTTAATACAGTATCGTAGAATGAAGGTTGGGTGTATTTTTTAAATATCTGTTATTTTATTGTGACTTATTAGTTAGAGTTATGGACATCATGCTACTCAGTCGTTTGAGTTATTATCAAATACAACTGAAAATCATCAGTAGTTATCATATTATAGTTGCTTTTGTGTTTAAAACAAAGCGGACGGACTTCTTTTGTAGGGAAAGAAACCAATCTCAATTACTTACGCACACAGATTGTATTCGTTTTGTTCCTTTAAACCACTTTATCATCTTTCTTTTTTCATTTCTTTTTAAATCTGTAACTTCTTTTTGGCGTTCTATTCTATTAATATAATTTTGATATTTCATAATAAATAATATGAGTATCAAAAGTATAATAACCAAGGATTGACTTAATAATTTCAAATAAACTGAAAATTAAGTACAATGTTAATAATCAAATAATAATGTATTTGTATTATCTCAATGAGTAGAAATTTAGATTTATGACGTTTCACGACTTTATTTGAATGGCTTCTTCAGAGTAAACTTAAATTATCTTGCAAAATATCAGTAATTCTAATTTCTATTCATTAGAACATCACAAATCAATCTTTGTTCGATTATTTTATGTGTTATTTGGTAAATTGTTGAGCCATGATTCGGAAGCCTCAGTCAGTTTATACTTATGCTTCATTTAACTGTTTCAGATAGGGTTTTTATATGATTTTTAGACAAGTGATTACTTGCAATGCACTATTTCAGACTGAAATTTCTTTAGTCAGATAGAAAAAGCTGAAGAGGTAATTCAACAAATATATCGTTTGACCGTGTTATCTAAGGTTTCTTATGGAAATATGAAGCTATTAATTACTAGATCACAACAAATACGCACCTCTTTCATTGGTTCTGTTTCACCATAGTGTCATGAACTTACCGGTCACTTTATATTAACCTGTAGCATATTGATTTGAATAATTAATTTTCAATTAGTTAATACCGAGTTCGAAAGCCCACATCATAGATTATTACCCTCTAAGCAATGAGCAAACCTCGTAGTCAGGTACACGGACCCTTACGTGCTCACTGACTTACGTTAATTTTAAAACGTAGGCTCAAGTAACCTCATTTGTGAATAATACACAATTCTGCTTATTCAGTTATAAGTAACTATGTTATGCAGTTTGACATATTTCCTTCGTTAACAAACCGATATTTTGTAAATTTGCATTTCTTAGACTTATCATTTTATTTCTGTTTCTGACGATTATTGATCATAAACTTTGTCACTGAATCAATAAACAGAGAGCGTTACAGTATAAAATTTTGCTATGATTGGTTTATTATGTAGAATGTTTTAATTGATCTATGTGTTTGTTTATAAGTTGCGTATGCATCTGCTATTCTAAGTTACTTTTTATGTCAGATGCTTAAATGACTTACTTAGGCGCCAGATTCATAGGGTTTTTTTCTTAATTTAGTAAGTGCAATCCGTACATGTTGATTGAATCATGTTAAACTGTAAAACGTCTGGTCACATAGAAACTTGGTTATTTCTGTTTGTAGATGAAAATTAGATGGACTATTTGGTCTTAGGTTTATGCAGTTAGAATTTTCTCTTTACCAAAGATATTTTTCTGCTGGATTAGTCTCAGGAAATCCTAATGCTTAATAAAATCGTCGACACTCATTTTGGGAACTAAGGTGGATTCTCTCACAGCGCAGAGATCTTAGTCTATTGGAATTAATTTTAATCGTACTTTCTTTTCAACCGAACAGATTCAGTATTGAATAAAATGTTCCCTTTTTGTTAAAAATCATTTATATGTACTTCATTACAATGCTGCATCTCAATTAATTCTGTTTCTAATTCGTATTACCTTACAAGTAATAATTAGTGTATCATAATGACTTAAACAATACAACAAATACGGTTAACAGAACAATTGCTTACGTACAACTAAAATCACTTTGAATACACTGGGCTCACCAAAAATCTTTCCATTGGTAAATGTGCGTGATTATCCAAGATTAATTTTGATTTTCTAAGGAATGATATATATATATAACTATAGGAATCGCTCCTTATCTGGTATCAGTGGCAAGATTATTTTGTGTGCTATAAAATGTATTTTGTCTCAAAAATTAACATCAATCGTAAGTTCCCCAACTAACAAGATGTTATTTTATATTACGAGCTTTAAGTAATTTCAAAAGTATTCACTGAAGCATCAAGAACTTGTTTATGATACATAATTTCTTGTTACAGTACATACATAACCATAAGGACTGATATCTTAGAAAGTATGTATAAATTCTATATCTATCCTACTATTTTCATGCTCATGGATGGATGAATTGAAATGTAGACACTTATGAACCGCCTCGAAGAATCTACTTTCAGCTGAATTTCGCTAATGAATAATACTTGTGTTTGCAATAAAAAATGAAACAATGGCTAAAGTATACCATCTTCAACACTGATGTCATTGCATAAATAAGTTCAAAAAGTCGCCCTTCTGACATAATTTAAGAGAATTTCACTATTAAAAAAGAAAGAAAACAGTACATTGCCTTACGAAATGTCGATTAATGTTGAAACCTCTCCAGCTTGTGAAATTCATCACTGCAATATGATTAAAAACGCAAAGTTCTATTGCCTAATCTGTTTTTAAACGTTCTTATAAGTGAGTCGTCTTAGATTGCAGTTTTGTACTTAACAAATATAATTTCCATAGTTATTTTGGTCAACAATGGAATTTCGCGAAAACATTTCCTGTTTGATTTTATTGTAGATGTGGTTTATTATTGGAGGATTAGCTGTTATAATTCTTGTGGTTATTATTGGTGAGTTAGATATCTGCTTTTTCAATAGTTCAGTCAATTTTTGTGACTAGGTATGTTGTGTATCAAGGTTATTATAGTTTGAGGATCTCAGATTATTCCTCAATTGGAAAGTAGTTGCTTCGTTTTTCGGAACCTAAGTTAATTTGAAGAACGCTCCGTATGTCATAACTCCGCCTGTAGCTCTTTTAGGGCTACTGCCGGTCCCAAGCCCGGGTAAAGGAGGAGGGTTGGGCGTGGGGTCGGCAACCCAATCCCGTAGAAAAAATAACCTTGCTAGAAATACGCTAACCAGAATAAACTATTTAAACTCTGTTCTTCCAGTTGAAGGAAGAATTATGACGCCTCATCATGAAAATCGAGTATTCGGAAGTCACGAGGTCGACGGCTCTTCTAACAATTAGAACAACAATTTTTATAGGTACATGAAACTTCTGGACAATGTGGGAGGACCAGTCAAATAAAAACGGAAATAAGGAGATAAAACTTGGCGGTCCTTAAAATCAACGAAACTCATTGGACTCTAGCTGGACACCAAATGTTAGGTACGAGAGAGATTCTGCTTTACTCCGGTTACGAAGGGGAAGATGCTCCATACACTCATGAAACTGAACTGATGCTGTCCAAAGAAGCAAGAAATGCACTTAATGGATGAAAATCTCATGGACCCTTGATCATCAAAGTATCCTTCAAAACAAAGAAGGAGGGAATGACGAATATTATCCTATGTCATGCACTCACCAATGATAGCAATTGGGACGATAAAAATTAGTTTTATTAGAGGTTACAGTCGATCGTAGCGAAGCGCCCAAGAAAGAAACTGACAATCTTGATGGGAGATCTAAACGCCAAAGTCAGAATGGATTACAACGGTTACGGAGATATCATGGGACGACATGGACTGACTGTGTTAGCGAGACATAGATTGAATTAAAGCACTTTTTGTGCACGATTGTGTTGCTGCATGTTGATTGGCTATTTCTTATCCAATCAGCGCTAGCCGATACTGAGAGAAGATTCTAGAATCTTCCCATGTAAAAACTATAGATACACTAACGTTTTTCCTTATTGTGCTTCTTACTTGAACCTATCCTTGTTATTTGGAATATAATTTCTTTCCTGTTCAACCATGTTCTTATATGAGGACTGGTAAGAAAAAGGGACGAGAATAGTGACAGATTAACAAAATTAAGTTCAAATCATGAGTCAGTTGAAGCTAGACCACCATTGAAAACCTGGAAGCACTGGACGGCCGTTTCGTCCTGGTATGGGACTTCTCAGCAGTGCGTATCCACGATCCCGCACCACGCGGGGCTCGAACCCAGGACCTACTGGCTTCGCGCGCGAGCACTTAACCACTAGACCACTGAGCCAGCGGGACCGTGGATGCGCACTGCTGAGGAGTCCCATACCAGGACGAAACGGCCGTCCAGTGCTTCCAGGTTTTCAATGGTGGTCTAGCTTCAACTGACTCATGATTTCAACTCGCGAAATTTCTTAAACTCTCCACAAAAACCCATTCTGAAAATTAAGTTCATTCAAATGCATGGTTATAGGCGCACAATGTTCCCACAACCTGTTGGAAAATAGGACGATTACACCTTATCATGGGTAAAACAAAAGGCTCTATAATGGCCGCGAAGTTGAAGAAAGATAACAAGATGAAATCAAACGTGTGAGTTGATAGAGCACTTGACGATATTAGCTTATGTAACCAACTCAGATTTAAATATTGTAATTCATCCGCCCTATCGAGTATGATGTGTATGTACACAAACTTTTTCAATGGCACTGATATTACCATACTGCACAAACTAGTGCAGTAGCAGTGCGTTCTCTGTTGTACCGTCAAACCTTATCATCTAATAAACGAACTTGTTACGAAAAGCACAAGGATAAATTTGCGTACCATCATCAATACATCTGGGAACTGCACTTCTATATACAATAGTCTAATTTGTTTCTTCACACGGCTTTGGTTCATCACTTACATTTCCCGTGTCAATTATGATGAGTACATTTCTGATTTTACGAAATTTACTTACTACTTAAACTTGACGAAAATAAATTATAATCAATTTCTTAATAGATAATTGTTATTCCGTTGGTAAACTGATATTTAAAGAAATGTAGGCTTTCCAAAACTAAATATACATATTGTGTAAATTTATAATATATTGTTTCATTCCCTTATCTTTCAGTTTGGTCCGTATCTAACAAGCATAATTGAAGTAATAAATCCCAAATCTGTTCACGAACTGAATCTGGAACATATGAGCTTTGATTATGATTGCTTTATTTATTAAAAAAATAACTTATGATCTCAGAAAGTATTTTGTAGTAGTTGAAATGGGAGATAAATGCAAATTGTCGATCTTCAAATTAAATTTTCTTTGTTTTCGTATGAAATTTCGACGCCGATGGACAAATTGATAGATTTAAACATTCTTTACAGTTTGGATTTACTGGGCGACAAATTTGCTGGCCAAAACCGACTAGTAACCAATTAATTTCATCCCAGTGTTCCCTAAAAGCAATCGAAATTAGTTAGTGAGTGTATGTGTATGATCATAAAGCCAAATAATTTCGGTTTTCTGCATTAAATTTTCCTGTAAAGATCACAAGTTAATCACTTTGCCATATCCTACTTTCATGGTTCGTACAGTGACGACAAAAACATCTAAGTGCCCAGTCATTTAAAAAATTTATGTAATTACTCCAGCTCCGAGGCTTTTTACTCAAAATAACAGGATACATTCGAGAGATTTAAGCATGGCAAAGAGGTCAATATTTTTTGGTTCCTGGACTAGTTCTTAACGTAAAAATTATTACGAGACTAAAACAAGGATAAGTTATCTCTAGATATTATAAATAACAAGAAACTCAGTTGTCGGGCGCTTGATCTATGCTTATTTTTAACCCTTGGTCAGTGTTATCAACCCTTCCAGGGTCGATATTTTCCGTTTATTCATATATTCTTGTATATCTTCGGGTAGGACGAGACGTCAATACATTTAAATTCATATGCACAAGCAAAGGTAATAAAAAAGCTTTACAACACCTTATCTAGCAAATATACTATGTTAAGTCGGAAATAGACATTGATCGTGACGAACAGATTGTCAGAATTAACCTAGTCAATAGCTTGTATTCTCAAACATGTTTCTAATTGAAGAAGTACATATTCAGATCTTAACAAACATTTCAATTTGTCACATGTAGTCTATTTACTTAACTTTCTTGTGTATGTATGCAGTTATTAGTCTCTTTTTAAAAAGAAACTTATTTAAACACCTCGTGTTAGGAATCCTATAATTCACCAAAAACATGGTACTGAATAAAGCCACTGATAATAAATATTGTTGATCCAAAATATGTGGTTGACTTATTTGTTTTATAACGTTTCACCAAGCCACGTGGGTTTGGTAATACCAACCGTCTGCCAAAACCCGAAGTAGGCGAGGCCCGCAACTATTTTTTGTATCCACTTCGATGTTTAAAGGGCTTTAAATACGCCCAACTGGTGTTGAATGGATTTCTATCCACAAATAACAAAACATATTAGTGAAATAATCAGATGCTTAAAGTTTGGTTTTCATTGACGCCCCCTTCCTTTAATGGTCTATATACCTGTCCAGATTAACGCAAAGATAAAATTCCAACGAAAAAAATAACCGACTAGCACAATACTGTTCCCCGCATACATGAATTACAACTCTTTAGGAATTTACCAATTATATTCCAATTACTACCTTGGGAACCATTCTTCGAGCGCCAGACGAGTTTCTTCTGGAGATTTGGTTGGTTTTTTGTTCCATTTTAAACGATTGATAATTCGATGTACATGTGTGTCGACACCGATTCCAGTCACTTTTTTCCACGCACACTGCATTGCTAAATATGCCATTTTCGGACCGACACCTAGAGTGGTCAATAGAAAATGTAAACACATTAACCAGGCAAGGTGCATAACTCCTCAACAGTCTCTGGTATATCTGAGTTGTATTTTTCCTTCAAGATCTCGCACGTTTTCTTTATATTCAAAGCTTTTGTCTAAGAGAAGCTCTGGCGAACTTAGATGCTACCTTATAAAATCCCACTGGGTATATCAATTCCTGCAAGTCTTCTGTCTTCATACTTGTCAATGTTGTAAGCGTGCACCCTCTCAACTTCAGACGCTCCATTGCAGCTGCTGTAATTTGATCTTTCGTCTGGCTTGACAACATAAGACTTATCAGTACCTGCAATCTGAATGTCTGTGAGTTTCAAAACATTTAGCAAAGGCGATCATACTTTCGGATGTTCTGTTTCATTAGCCAATCTTTCGCAACCCATCGAGTCTACCGGGGCATCGCGACTTTCGCGCATTTTTCGAATATTACTAAGTTGAGCCCGCCAATTTAGTGGTTCCCATTTACGTTTCATATGATCCGAGACACCATCCTCAATATCGCCTACTCCAGATTGTTCTCGAGATCGGATTCTTTTCGTCATTTGCTTTATAATGGTTTGAAGGCTGGGGTACCTGTGGTCAGAAACAGTACTCTATTAATCTGTTAGTAAATATGCATACTACCGAGAAAATGGAATTAAATTACTAGTTTTAATAAAGCTTGGCCAGGTTAGATTATTCAATCAATGCTTTAAAGTGATAGCAAACAACACTTCAGTTCACTCGTGAAAATATGAATACACACATAATGTACAAAGAGATTACGTTAGGCTGACGTTATCTATGAATCTAACTACAGTTTAGACATTATTTGTAGTTGTGACCTGTCAAAATAGCCTTTTCATTTACTGATGAACGACCGGCAACTACTTCAGCGAAGGATGTATATCCTATACAAATGACTTTGAAATTATTCATCTACTGAGTTTTACATTATGATGAATTATCCGGGATGAGTACTTAATCGGGTTTTCTTTTTCTGAACAACTGGAATTATTTTGGACACTTGGATAGACATGTATTCTTAATGGGTCATAATTTGACTATGTTAGGATGTATTTCTTTAGTAAGACACTGAACAATTATCGGTGGTTTAATTGTTCAATAAGCTACAGCATATTCCATATGGTTACTGTTGAGCAAATATACTCTGACACAACATTGGACTAGAACACGACCACAATGAACGAATATGACACTTGAAAAGTTCGTTTAGTCATAAATTGTTTCATACTGCTTCACATACTACCCAGGGCAAATATTGCTGAACCACTACGCGCTTACTTGGGAAGCGTATCGTAAAGTTTCGAAATAGGACTTTTGGCATTCAGATTTCATTCCTTGCTTGACGTTTATTTCATGTACTGCTTACTATAAAACACAGATTAATTAGGTCACTTCATAGATCTGTGACAACGTGAAGCTGATAACAAACAACAATGAATGATCAGACTTAAAGTGTGAAGAAACTTGGCCAATTATTAATTCATTTCATAAAAACATCATGTATATAGCAAAAATTACTATTGTAATTTCGTTTTAAGACAATAGAAACGATCTTAAATCAATGCCACTTTAGCTATGAGCAATTCGTTCCTCTAATCTGTTTCCGACTCCCAATGCAGTTTGAGCGAGACTATAATTTATGGACGAACCAATCAGATTTACCATACCAGGTCTGAGATTTTGTCGGGAAATTCAGTTTCAGTTTGGAAAGGATAGGAGTTTTGATGGCCTGTGTTAATCCTGGCAATGGTGGTCTCTCAGATGATCAAACTTTCTTTTGAAAGAATCGACGAACGGAGCCTCAATCACGTGCTGAGGTAGTGAATTCCACTCGTTGATGATTCGATGGGAAAGTTAAAAGTCAGCTGGAAAGTAGTTTGTCCTGGGCTTGTGAACCTTATAAAGTGTCCTCGCAAGTTCTCTGTTTTGGAAGACAAAAAAGTGAGGGCATATCAGGTGTAAATTTATCATTTAGCAATTTCATAACTGTAATCAAAACGTTCCTAGTTCTTCGATAAGTTTAGCTTAGCCAGTCGAGCATCATACGGAAGCTTTGTTGTTCCGGGACTCAGTTTAGTTGCTGTTCTCTGAACCTTTTCCAAAAGCTCACTATCTTTGTTAAGCAGGTGCTAGCCTCTTGTATGCAGTACTCAAGTTAAAAACGTACGAACGCTGTATACAAAGTCAAAAACGTTTTAGCGTCGACACGATTAGAAGCCCTACGTATTAATCATAAAGCTCTAGAACCTCTGGCGGCTACTGCACGGCAGTGTGCGGTAGTTTTTATGTCTTAGCTAACGATGACTCCTAAGTCATTGTGTGTTTGGACAACAGGTAGCTTAGTGTTATTCACCGTGTATGTACCTGTACATTGATGTCCGATATGCATCACAATACACTTAGGTGTACTTATTGGCAACTACCAGGTTTGAGACCATTCAGACAATTTCTTCAGCTCATTTTGGAGTTCTAAGCTATCATTCTTATATCGTATCGTTCTCCATATCTTGAAATCGTCAGTATATAGCAAGACCGATTATGATAGCAGATGAGGAAGGTCATTTACATACAAGAGGAATAGCACTGGCCCCAAAATTATGTCCTGGAGCACTCCACTAAGCGCAGTTACCCAGCCAGTCAATGTAGGCTACGTCTAGAGGTAAATTTCGGTCCTTAATAGCGCACCAGCTTTCACGAGCAACTAATAAGTTTACAACCTTTCGCTATACGGGATACAAAAGGGTATAACCACCGACATCATGGTGCCTGGCAATATTCATTGAAACGAATGAACATTAATCAAATGTCGATTACCGAACTCCTAACATCTAAGTGGTCATCATTCAAAATTTATCGTCACAATCGATCAAGGTATAAGAAAAGGAAACTTGTTAAAATACTTTATGCTGAAAATTCAATGTTGTACAAAAAATATAATGTTGAATAAAGCTTCTAATAATAAATAATAAAAATAAATAATTGTACTGGTATTCTTTCACTATTGTTACTTAGAATCTTCTGTTCAGTATAGCTGCAGTCAACATTTTTCAGTGCAAAGCACATCGATTTCTAGGTGAATCTCGTGAATTATTCACCATCCTCAATGAATGTGGATCAAAACTGAGCAAACAAGCTTACGAACCCTATCCGTTCAAGTATTCCTGTAGTGGCATCGGACCATAACCATACAATCCTCAAAGCTGAGCACGAGACAATTCGGAAAATAGATATTCACCTAAGGATGGAGAAGGCGGGAAGAATGTATTGAATGAATTGGAGTTGATCAAATTGCATGGCTCGGCCATGCAGGCGTGGTCCCTGCTGAATATTACCTCATATCTTTTATTCATATTAAATATATTGTTCTTTCTCTAGCCTAACTTTGTTCTACATCATGTATTGGTAGTTGTTACGATACAGTGAGTTGTT